ATTGAGACTATGCTGCGAAGGATGTTCCAAATCGCTCATGTGTCCGTAAGCTGGAACATATGTCAAACTGTCAAACAGACTCTGTGCCAAAACGCTTGAATGAGCCTTCGGCTGAAGGGAACCAGTTGACACATTGAGATCTTTGGCCCACACAGCGGGAGCAAAGACGCTACTAGGGGCTCCTGGCCTTACCACTGGGAGCAAGAAGCTACTAGGAACAAAGGGCATCGCTACTAGGAGCAAGGACGCTACTAGGGGCTCCTGGCCAACTCGCTCCTGCCTCTGATTTGTTCACGTTGGCCTTTGGGCGAACCTGCCGGGGGCCGGAAACTTTGTTTTTCTGTGGTCGCATGGCTGGACATCTGTCGTAAAAGGCATCGAATTCCAAGCTCAGTACTGCTTGTCCGCTTACCTCTCCCATGTCCATGAAACCCGGCCACTCTCACCATATTGATTTTCTACTTCCTAAACAGTGGGAGAGTGGCCGGATGCCCGCAGATCCTTTGTTCGACAATGTGGCGACAAAAGCCTGCGCCTTGCCGCGACTGAGTACACCAGAGCCGGGTCGCGTGACCTTGTCACACACACACACCACGTGGCGACTTAAGTCACTCAATAACATAACACTTATATAATCCAGGTTCAAGTGCCCCTGGGAATGCCAAAAGGATATGAAGTGATCGGCGATCTCCTGATAGTAAAGCGACAGCGGCTTGCAGTTCGATACGAGCAGTTGTCAGCGGAGTGGCAGGGTCACAACGCTAAATTAGGCTCTGTTCAACACGCCCATCCCAAGCTAGGGTCAGCAACCCATCTGTTGGTGTTGATGTCCCACTCACGCCAGTTCGTCCTTGGCAGATGTTCTTTTTATAATAGAGATGCAATTCTTTCATACCGTGTTCGACTGCGAGCTTGCATCTTTGCCTGTTGCTCACTAGGCTTCTGCGATCGTGACGAGGCATGCTGAGATGTGGATATCGAGGTGGGATGATTCATAGTAGCAAAGGGCATCGCTACTAGGAGCAAGAAGCTAGTAGTAGCTCCTGGCATTTCTACTAGGAGCAAGCATGCTACTAGGAACAGAGGGCATCGCTACTAGGAGCAAGGACGCTACTAGGGGCTCCTGGCCTTACTACTAGGAGCAAGAATGCTACTAGTAGCGATGCCCTTGTTCCTAGTCGCTTTTCACGTCACTAGCGGCTTGGACGCAGACTTCCGGGTGCTCTGCGCTTCGTTGACTTCCACCCAAAGCTCATACCTGGGCAGGTGGCTTCTGTCATGTTCAAGTCCGGGTGATGTCACGCAAAGAGTCTGAGTATGCCCCTTTGGGGGGCACAAAGAATAAAAGCAATTTGAAGCCCGCTCCAAATCAGGCAACAGTTCATCTGATGTGAAGAAACACTCATCATATCATCATACGGTGCCATCCTCCTGTTGCTTTGGAGGTACCGCTTAAAAGCACTCCACGCTCCGCTGCTAGGCTGGGCATCCCTGACCCTTCTGGACTGTGTGCAACACCATTGCTCTTGGACTCCTCATGCTACGCTTCAGGTCATGTGTGTAGAGTTGCAGTTCCCGCCTGTAGCAGTGAAGCATAAACTTGTTATACACATACTGTTGGCATTTCTCGTATCAAGAGTTTTACACAGGTCCATGTTTCGTGTCCAAAATGGACTTCAGGGCGAATTCAAAGCATATATGTGCATCTAGGGCAAGGCATATGAGTCTAGCAAAGTGGACTAAAGCTAATGCAGAATCTAGAATCTCTCGTTACAGGGTGTGTCAACTGCGGCGGCATGGCTACAACCCTAGCGACTAGCCCACACATCACTTCCAAGACAGTAGTAAGAAGCTACTAGAAACAAGTGCATCGCTGTAGTAACAAGTGCCTTACTAGTAGTAACAAGAAGCGAACGTAGAAACTCTAGCGGCTCTAGCGCCTACACAGTTCCTTCGGACCACGCCTTGATTGCCTGGAAGCGCTTGGCCTTGGCGATGCCCCAGGTGTTGGTGCTGGCACCTCGAAGCAGAATCAGCACACAAACATGGTGCACACTGAGTGTATAAATAGTTACAATATATCATAAAGATACGTGGCGGTTTTGTCCCTTCTCTCTAATAAGGCCCCCTTCAATGATGCCCAAACACATTCCTTTTTCATCCTGAGATGTACTTTTCTTGGTCAAATCAAATCCACCTTGCTGGCTGTCCGAGCAAGTGATTGAGTTTCAGTGGCAAGGTGGCAGGTCCAGTTTAGGCATTGGGCCTGGACCGGTGTACTGAGACAGCAAATCTATGCGAATCTCCGCTCATTTCATGTCAGAGCACTAGGAAGTGCTGCCGCTGACCACAAGTAACCAGCCAAACCAAGCCAGGCCACTTCGGTAGATGAAATACTGGCCAGATGCAGGCCAGTAGGTTTCACCTCATCACCCCAAAACATCCCGCCCGACGCAATAACACACTGGTTTTCCAGGCGATTCCAAAACCTTTTGACTTTCAATGGGCTTCACGAAGCACACAGGACTCAAGACGTTTTCCTACTGTTTCCACTTCGACTGAGCTGGGTTGGCCTTTTCAATTGTCAAAAGCTTGGCAGGATGGACTACCGATGTATGGCTCTCCAATGATGCACTCTGAAGGCTGGATCGTCAGGTCAAGAATGGCCATGCCACTGCAACATACGATCCATTTCACCACACGAGTGAGATTGAGTAGGAGCAAGGACGCTACTTGGGCTCCTGGCCTTACTACTAGGAGCTAGAAGCTACTATAAGAATCTGGCCGTGCAACGATCCATCCCAACCTCCCTTGCTTCGAGGCACGCCCGTTCACTCGGAAGTTGGGCGAGGGCCGCTCCACAAATAAGACATTTAGGAAGTCATTGTTGAAGCCGCCTGGTCAGAGCTGGATGATTCCACAAGCTCCATGTGACATCGTGCTTGTCTGACGCCACCCGTGTTTGAGGCAGACTGGCTGGTGAAAGAGAACTAGTCAAAAACACGCTCTGAACAAGCATGAGGTCGTGCTGTGCCTAGCTTCACTGCCCGAAGCTGCCTCCTTGTGCAAGGGTGCTCTTCAGAAGCCGTGGCGAAGGTAATGGGACGTGTTGGGGGGAGGGGTGCCAAAAAGAACACCAAATTACAGCAGCATATTCTCCAATATCTACCGTGTTCTTGCGTCTTGGAGCATCATGAGATGCATCTGTGACTACTGCGACCATCTAGAAAAGCAAGGGTTGCTGTTTCACCTGTTGCATAGCCTTGTGGCCAACCTTCAAGTGGCCAACCTTTCGTTACAATGACGGTCTTGACCAACCACTGACCAAATACTGTAGGAAACGAGCTCTGCAGAGTCCCTGAGCTTCCGGCCAGGCACCAGCAGAATCGGGAGATCCAGGGAGTGTATTTGCGGGAGAGCCCGGAAAGGGCCTCAAACTCCAAACCACTGGCTGTGCTAACATATCGAAACCATGACACACACACCTTGGCCAAACCAATCGAACGTCAGGAACATCCTTGCAGTGTGGCCTATGAGCAGTGCTTTCCCTCATCTGAGCCCTCCACAAGCTTGTGAGACTCTCACCGCTCAAATGCAGTTGCAAATTTGGCTGGCGCCGGCCTTCTTAGCTGATGAGATTTTCGTAGCAAATTGCCCAAAAACTCTCTATCTCTCTCTCTCTCTCTGTGCGTCCGTCTTCAACAAATGCATCCCAGCGAGCACCCCCCAGGGTTCAGAAAATATCTACGACGCGTGCACTGGCCATGACAAGTTTGACTGACAACAGGTATCAATCTGAGGATTTCGGAATCAACACCAGGGTCTCGGGCCTGACTCGAGATCTTTCCTTGGGATCACGTGGCTGCCGGTGGATTGAACTGGATATATATATATATATACATACTCTATATATCTCCACATACTCACCTAAGAAGGTCTCTCTTCACAGCTTTCTGAAATCTCCACGGCAAAGTGCGCAAACAACGAAACAATCCCCGTGTTGAAATGCGTGCAGGGACTCCGGCCCCGACTAGCAGCTAGCAGCTACTAGATTATTAGATTTGGCTGAAAGTGTCCACATAATGCTGTATGACTCTGTCACTATTGACTCGGCCATTTTTCTGGTTGTGCATTGACACGCGACGCAAAAGAGCTGCACTTGGCAAGCTTAGGTGCTGGAGTGCAACTTTGACCTCACAAGCTCGATCTTCATGAAATATTGGACGATGAAGTGCCAAGTGTCAAACCCCTTCGAAGGCTCTGAGACTGATCTCGAGCAGCCCAATGTACAAGTCTCCAAGGCTGGTGCAGGAGACTCGATCTGATCAACTTTTCTGGATCAACTTACGACCTGATCGGCCACTGCCAGTGCCATCTTGGCACCGAAGCATTGGTGAAACCGAAACCGCTTTGATTTCTCACTTTCCCCTGACGCCAAAAGGTCGACGTGCGCCGAGACTTGGGAGAAATTCGTACTAGGAGCAAGAATGCTACTAGGGGCTCCTGGCATTACTAGTAGTAACAAGAAGCTACTAG